CGGCACCTGGCTTTCTCCGGTGCATATTAGCTTAGTTGCGCTTACGCGGCCGGTTTTGCTTCCTCTCTGGCGGCCACTTTCCTTACCTTACCCCCGCTACACTCTCACTCCAAGATACACCTGCTAAGCAAGATGCATTGCGATTTCCTCTTTTGTGCACGTACCGATGGCCTGGCTTGTAACCCAGACAGTTCACCTAGCAGGGCAAGAAGCGAAGTGTTACCGATCTTACTTGGTTTACTGAGCTATTCGCTACGCCCCTTAGTGCACACTGGAGTTTCACTTCTTCCTCGAAAGCATGGCCGGACTGGAAAAGGAACCAAAGGATTAGACATGGTCCTCGCTAGGATCCAACTTCCCGCTATATCCGACAAGCAATCAATCAAGTAAACCAGTCAGTGCTAACCGGGTCTTTAAGTAAGCAAAGTCGTGAACAGAGAAAGATCTTAGGGCGATCTCGCATTGCTGCCTCACAAAGCCCTTCCTTCTTTAGCGAGAGTTCCAAAGGCGCACTGAAATATATAATTCCTAAGCCGTAGGAGGAATTTCTTCGTAAGGGCGCACAAGGCTTTCTTGTTGTGTTGGCATATCGGCTTACGAGAGCGAAACCGAGCTCGGGATCGCCTAGGATGTTTGTTCTAGTCTTGTCCAGGGTTAGAGAGAAAGTTGACTTAAACGAGTTGGGTTCGGCTAAGAACAAGTTCGTGTTGGTCCTTCGGGCGCTAAGAAGCTATTAAACTAAGTAGCTCCGCGCCCACAATCTCTCCCAGCTGGATCACTGAAAGAAGGATGCGACAAATCATCACTCGAGGCCTCAGGCCAGAGAATAGAGGTTTTCTCAACTCTTTTTGGTTGAATGAATTGGAGAGCTTGCTAGTGAACCATAAAATCCTAGCCAAGTGGATGGCCGGTGTCTAAGACAGGGCTTCACTCGCAAGGATAGGACATTCGAAAACATAAGAATAGGGATAGCTTGAGCTACAACTTTCAAAAGCACTTCCTTACTGTCTTTAGATAACAACTTTCATTGCCCGCCAACCTTGCCTTCTGTCTCTCTGTTTATTCGTCTTTGATTGCGCAGGAGCAGTGTCCGGGTTTCCACCAGCCGAAGCCCCTGCCGCTTTCCCTGAGACTGGTGCCTATTCCCATGAGAAGGAGGACACACAAGAGAAGTGGTTTTTCTACTATCCGCTTGCTTGAACGGCTTGATTGAGTATCTTACCCAAAAAGAAACCACTTGGAACTGAGTACCGAAACTTGCCTACTGTCCCAACACAAGGCAAACCTTTCATTCATCGGGCTAACACTTTGATTTATGAAGGCAAGTCGAGAAGTCAAGCAAGGAATAAGATAGCTTCCCCTGAGAGAAAGAAGGGACTTTTAAGCGCAGAAGCCAAAGAAAGCCTCTTTACCTAACTTTGGCTGGTATACGAGTGGGAACAGGTTCAGTTCAAAAACCATATCTGTCTGTCGATTTACAAAATCTATCTCTGTTGGGAACTTTTTATTAACCCATATTTCTGTTAATCTTTCGAACCCTGTCCTTTGCTTGAATTTTTTTCTGAGTGACTAGTCTTTCTTTCTAGTGCTGTGTGAAGCATATTACGTGCTTACTCTTGTTTTTTGTTGGAAGAAGACTGTATATTTGTGTCTGTTTTGTTTTTCTTCGCTTATTGATATCTCTTTTATTTGCTCATCTATAAAACCTCTACCCATCACTCTACCTTGACCTGAGAACTTGATTTCCACGTAATCTTGGTAGGACTAGGCAATTGATCTTTAGAATTGCTCTCACAATTTGTGTTAGTTAAGGTGTACATGTTCAGTTGTCATTGCTACCCTCATGTATATGTTACTATATTGCCTATAATATCAAAAATCTTTGCTTCTCATTTGCCTGTTGTGATCAAACTAATATTACTAAGTGTGACTTGTTTGATTAATAAGATGGCCACCACAAATTTTGAACTTGGGGTCTTTAATGGGAAGGGAGATTTTCCCATATGAGAGAAAAAAATGATAGGGGTTTTAGTACAACAGAAAGTTTCTAAGACTATAACTGGAAATTTTCCTGCAACAATGACTTCTGAGCAGAGAACTGAATCTACCGATTTAGGATATGCCTCGATTATCCTCCATTTGTCTGACCAAGTGTTAAGAAAGGTAGGAAAATTGGAAAATGCTAAGGCTCTATGGGAAAAACTAGAAGAATTGTACTTGGTGAAATCTTTGCCTAATAAACTCTTCCTTCTAGAAAGATTTGTCAGTTTTAAAATTGATCCATCCAGAGATTTGGATGATAATCTTCATACATTCAATAAATTGGTACAACCATACCACCTCCTCCACTTCCACTTCCACTTCCATCTCCACCAAACCATATAGACATGCACAACCATATTTGACGTGCCCCCACCACTTGCACCAACTGATGCATAGTAAATTATAAATCGCAACACTAAATTGCACCTGATGGATCACAACATATAGAGACACAAAGATCGTTGTACCACCAGGGGTTGACCCACATGGGGTCTTGTGGGGTCAAATGACCTCATAGCTTTTTAGATTTTTTTTTTCCAGCTGAAAACATAATTTTTTGCCAGGTCTGCTGCCAATAGCGAAGTGAGCCAACCCAATTAATTTCCCTAACCCAATGCTCAAAAAGCTCAAATCCTAAATCTATATCCATATCACATGATCCATATTCATTAGTTAGTCCATAGATATATTATATAATCTACCGATTTCTTCCCAAAGTGCAAGCACCGAACACAAACAGCAAACTATCGATTTCTCCTTTTTATTCATGATACGTTGTTGGAAAAAAATTTCATTTTTGACTCCATAGTTCGAACTGTATGGGTCCGCCCTTGTGCACCACCTCAAATCAGTAAACCACCAACATCTCATGCCTACCCTTTCTTCCCATATGACAGTCCAAATCTCGACAGAGACATGACAAGACTAAAATCTGCTACCCCTTTTGACGTTCACCCACTAAACATGACAAGTTTGAACCCATTTCAACTCCTTCAAGATCAGTTTGCTTCCAAAGTAGCAAATATTGGTGGCGCCACCGCTGTCAAATGGGAAGTCAAAAATTAGGTGTATGTAATTTTTTTAGCTTATTTCCTATTAAAATTTAACTATGGTTAGGCTTTTTGTTAGAAAAGACTTATAAACAAGAAAATATTACCTGCCAAACAAAAAGATGCAATTCTACAGTCAACATAGAATAAACCATCTTTTTCCTGCCTTATCGATGTACATGTCGTTTTCTTCGAGTACCTAGTGAGAGTGGAAATGTTGAATGTTGAATTAGCAAGGTTTTACTATTCATTCGGGGTCACATCGGCCCTGGACGAACAGGGACAGGCACCCAACCAGTAGGGGAAGCCACATGCACCCCTGGTGGATTTCCTTCTGGCCTTGGTTTCGTATCTTGGTTGGGATATGGGGGGTTGGTCTTTTGTATTGGGCTGCCTTCTAGCCTTTCTCAGCACTGTATCCAAGTCTTAGGCTACCTTGGAGCCTGGTTCTTGTGCCTTATATTGATAGATATTGGGCTTGATTTTTCATGTTGATGCCCTATTTTGACTCTTGGGATATTTTATGGTGGGCTTTTAAACCTGTCCAGTACCAATTGGAAAACTGCATATGCCGTATGGTGCTTGGTTATTTGGCAAATGTCCGTTTCATTAGCTCTTGGGCGTTCTAATCTAAGCACTTTCCATTGAAGTATCTTCAGTCCTAGACTTTAGATTAGTAAACTTTTTGCATTACATTTTATTAAATTTATCCAGTCGGTTGAAAGTCAATTGTACGCCTCTCTAAAATTGTAATTTATTTTCATATTAATAACATTCCCACCTTCGGCGTGGTTTTCCTAAAGAACAGGATTAATATGTGCGAAAGAGAAATACATGGGACAAAGATCGACTTATTCACATGTGCAATCATATAAAGAATAATACTATTTGTAATCGCTCTATATGACCTGGATGTGACAGTTAATAATTCAATGGGTAGGACAAAAAAAATAACACATTAATATATGAAATCACAAATCGTCATGTGTGATACCACGTAGGGCAACTATCATAGTGAACGACTATGAATAACATTACTCTATATGAAAAAGGTATTCCTTAACCTTGTTCTTGGTAGTTATGATAAGTTATGATTTCTTATACTTAGCATCTGTTTGTCTCCCTTTAAAACAAAACTCTTTTAATTTTATACTCATAATTCAAAACTTTTCCATACTTTTTAACCATATATTCTATTACAAAATCACTATTTAAAACTCTATTTTTTCAAAATAATAGCAATCAAACATGGGCTTAGCCTCTATGGATACCTAATACAAAGGCACAACTAATCTATGAGTATGACAAAGTTCGAATATTGCTCCACAAAATTTGAATGATATAACTGAAAAATACATATGTTGCTAAAAATTGAAAAGTTTGAGATCTAAATGTCAAGAAATAAAGCTCTGAATTTTAAATACTACCTTACAAATTTGTTGGGGACCCCACTTGCAATTCCCTATATATTATTAACCAGGGAGGCACCAGGGCATAAAGTTCATCCAAGGCAAAAACTTTAATAAACTGCAAAAAAAGGTAGATAGAGCACACGAGAGTCTGTATGTACCGCATATTGAGTGCAAGTTTGGCATCTCATTTCAAGTTTAACTAAGATAGCTTCACTCTTAGGAAAAGAAGATACCAAAACCTTCCCCACCAATTACACCCAAGAACGCTACAATTCTTTACCTTCCCAACTTCTGTTTGTTTACTCTCCCTATTCATCTGAACGAAATATTAATATCCTCCCTAAGAAGTTCCTATTGATATCACCTCCTCCGATGCCATAGTCAGTATTCATATAGAATATATCGGAGTTTTTGTTAATATCTATATCAACGTTATATTCCGATGCCACGGATAGTAGTCGGTCCTCAGAAACGAACTAATTCGATCATCTGGTTTATGGCTATAATTTGTGCGATACTAGCGGTGGCAGTGATCATAGCTGGTATCATATTTTTCGTCGGTTACCTTGTCGTAAGGCCTAAGGAGCCTCGAATAAGTGTAGCAAGTGCACAACTCGACACCCTATATTTTGATCAAACGAGTTTGCTGACAGTACAAGTTTCAGTTGTGATCAAGGCTGAGAACGACAATGCCAAGGTTCATTCGAGTTTCTACGACATGAGTTTACTGCTAAGCTTTCTAGGGGTGAAAATGGCCTATTTGGTTGCTGAACCTTTTGATGTGAAGGCAAATAGTTCGGTTGAGTTCAACTATGTACCTCAGTCGAGTCCTATTCCATTGAATCCCGATGATGCTGAAGGGGTTAGCATGTCTTTGAGGCAGAGAATAATAACTTTTGATCTCAAAGGGAAGGCCAAAACCCGATGGAGGGTAGGTCCAATAGGTTCAGTTAAGAATTGGTTGCATTTGGAATGCAAACTCCGTTTGCCAATTAATGGAACGAAGATATTCCCAAGATGTAGTTCGAGGTCGCAATAATTTCTTTTCTAGAGGCGGCTCGATCCAAGTTTGTCCACATGGACCTTCCTCCGCAAAGGAGGGGACGAGGAGGAAAGCTGCAGGCCGAAAAGCTTCGACCCTTGTTTCAGGGCACAATATTTTTTTGTGCACTGTCTCATTGATTTGATTTCTATTGCTATCTTCATATTCAAGGTTTAGAGTAATAAGATTTGGCATTTTGAAAAAAAGGAAATACAAACTCACGATATCTTGCCACGTGTGCATTCTGTCACCCAGGTTTCCACCTGGGTGTGCAAGTAACATTTTTCTTCTTATTTACCAATCCGTCTCCAAATAATTAAATTTTTTTCCTGGATGGGGTTGGGGGGAGGGTTGCTCCTTAGGGGTGGTAGCTATAAAGGGCATCCATATTTAAAATAGAGTAGAAATATGAATTGGTTTTTCAAGTACGTATAAATAAGTCTAGAATATCTTCAATAGTCAGCTTTCGACCATTTCAAATGATTGAAATTAAGATGGCTATGTTCGAGATAGCATATCAACGGATGGAAAAATATAAAAAAAAAAATCCTTTTTCTTCATTCGAAGGTACTTTTTTATGTTATAAAATATATAATCAAGATGAAATTTGAAAAGGCAAGTTAGGTTAATTATGATGAATGCGCTCTTTATAGTCAAAGAATGCACCACGTAAAGGAGAAAGCATTAAGCAAAAACCAAAAACGTAAATGAGTAAGCATTAAGCAAAAATCAAAAGAAATGCTGAAAAGTGAAAAGCTAAAGTACCTTTTCGGTAGAAGCTTTTTGGATTTATTGTGCACATTGATGAAGTGCGCTTGGCACAAGTAACGTTCTTTTTTCAAAAAGCAACTACAATTGTGCAAGTAATGGCGCCACAACTTAATGCTTAAGTTACTAAACCAATAATTGGGAATTATTGAGTTTGGTGGGAATTATAGAGTTTACTTTACGACGATCCGTCAGATTTCCATTAGTATCTTTGTCTCAAGACAAAATAGAGAAGTTTGTATGGGATCTATACTAAATGTAGCTAAAAATGGTTAAGAAAAACAATGTTGAGTATTTAAAAGTCTTAACTTCAAAAGTAAGAGAAAAATAATTAGATTACTAGTCTTCCTTTTTTTTTTTTTTTTTTTTTAAGTTCTTGAACTTATGAAATCAGAAATGTCCTTACACCAATAAATCAATTCAATAACATACTGAAAAGTCTTTTAATTATCAAATAGACATAAGATTATACTACTATTTGATTTTTTTAATTATCAAATAGACATAAGATTATACTACTATTTGATTTGCCACGTATATTCGTATAAACAAGATTAATGACTGTAAATTTTGCAAGTGTAAGAATCATGACAATTAATAATGATAAGTAAATTCAAGGACCATACTATTAGGTACTGAAATTAATCATCCTACCTTTATTTGAACGATCACTTTGAGGGGAAAAAGAATTTTTTTCTAATTAAAGCTATTGTTAAGCTTTTACAAAAGTAATAAACTAAACATATTTCCTTCAAACCATCCCCTAGGTTTGAACACGTCACGTCACTTATTTGGTTATCATCCAACTTAAATTAGACGTAGAAAAAAAAGTAAAATAATAAAAAGTACAAATTACAATGAATTGGTAATTTGGAGTGCCATTTGGAAAATTACTTCTCCTTAATCGAGTCAACCTCCTGAAGAGATCAACCTTCATTTTGACAACGTTTTCTCCATTTACTTAGTCATGTACGAAGAGTACACTAACTACGAACTTTTTTCAGTCTCTTATCCGCAACTGAACACTAAATTTTATCCAAATTTCTCTTCCTGCGAGTCTATCATCTATGTTTTCATCTTAAACTACGAATTTGTTGCCACATCAATATGTATCATCGCCTCTCTTTCAATCTTCTTATTTTTATCTCCCTAATAATCACTCCTACCCCTTTCCATCTCCCTAACATGCTCCTCCGCCTCCATCTCAACCTCCCTAGGGTTATCTCCATCGATCCCTAGTATGTAGTAGCTGTCTCAATATATCGTCATGATCACAAGAAGGTTGACATCTGCACGGCGATCTCTAATTTGAAGGAAAAGAAGACCAGTCATGAACACAAGCAGTCTCCAAAATTTGCTCCTAATGAAAGAATATAATAGATAATTAGCACCAATTTGTCCTTAGTAAGATTACAAGTTAACATTAGAAATATAGATACATCATCATCGTGCGTATTAGGAGGTACTCTCTCTCCAACTGTCATCTAGTTCTTCATCACCAATACCCAGGTATACTCTCATCCTCACAAAGATAAGCATATAAATTTGAATATTCCTTTTTAATCTCGTGAACGAAAAAGTTCACATATTGTTACTCGATCTCATCGAGAGTAGCTGTCAATGAGAAACGAACTTCAAACTATTTGACAAACAAAGACATTTTAGTAATAGTTGAAGCAACGTTAGGATGTAGATGCAAATATCAAAGACAGCCGTTAGTTGTCCAAAACATTAGCAATGCCTTGAGAATTAGGTGTAAGAGTCAACTTTCAATGGAGTCAAACATTCATATCTAAAAATAGTATCTTTTATATCTATAATTTACGTGATATGCGTGCAATAGGGGGAGTTCTATATTAGCTGGCCCAGCATCGATTATTCAGTTGGATTGAACTTATTTAATCAAGCAATAGTGTTTTGGGCTTAGGCCCGGCCCATTAGCCCCCACTTGGCCCATTTTCATTTCTCTCTCTATATGTGAGCTCTTTTACGCACAAGGTATAAAATCTCTAACCCTAGTCAAATCCCTTTTACCCATTTCTTGCATTCATTTATCTATCATCTGTGTGTTGACTTGACCATCGAAGTGTAAACGTTTGCCGAACCTTTTTCTCGACTAACGGGCTTTGCACTCTAGCAAGGTGTATTAGCGTGTCAGTGATGCTTATGTGAAGGGAAGGTCGCTGAAATTCTGTTGGTGCAAAATTTGAGGTCAACTGATTGGTGTCATTTGTGAGAAATCGGTACATTAATCATGTTATCACCACATTCAAAAAGCCACTGGAAAAAGATAATTTTTCGGGCAGTTTGTTCTATTGAAAAAGGAATCACCCACCAAAAAATGAAGAAATCTGTTATGAACAATGGCTGCAGCAAGCTAATATAAAGAAGGAACTTTCAAGAAACCAAGGTTGAAAAATCCGTCATAAAAAATAACTATTTCCGGCTATGGGTTGAAGATACCTACCATGAAATGGCAAATAGAAAAGGATTTAAAATGGAGCAAAAAGTTACTGGAGCCATCTGAAGAACAATTCTCCATCAGGGACTTTTCTCTCCAATTTGGTTAGTCATTCAAACAAAAAGTTTTAGTAAGTGCTTTATGTTCTTCTTCAGCCAAAATTTTGTCTAATGAACTAAAACTAAGCCCTTCTGTCTTGAATAAAGATAGCTGGATACAAAAGACATCCTAAGTAACCTACAATTTTTTTCACTCTTGAATAGAACTCATTTCTGAAGATCACCCTCATGAAAACAATTAGCCATGCACAGATTCCTCCACCTTTTCCAAATCACAGTCTCATAATGAAAGGATATAGTGAACGGATTATGCTATTCGTTGAGGGAATTTACCAAAATGTCATTTTTTTTGAAAATGCACAAAAAACTTTGATGTGCACACAATTTGTACAAAAATGTCACTTTCTTGTTGTCAAATATTTAAATTACCCTTAATTTGACCTTTTTTGGAGCATTTAATGCTCCTTCATGATTGTTTTTCAAAACAATTAATATTGTGATTTGATTGATTAATTTATATATTATAATCATTGAATATATGAATATTATATTGTAAAATACGAATTTAGTTAATAAAAATGAATATAAAATCCTTCAAAACCCTAGTTAACATAAAAAAAAAAACAAATTTCTTGTTAAACAAACCCTTATTTCATTCATCTTCTTTATCCATTTTCTTTTTCATCAAGAAGATATTATTTCATCCATCTTCTTCATCTATCTTGAAAGGTTAGAGGTTAGTTATTACGAATTGTTTATATTTTTATGTAATAGCTTACTCTTTTTAAAATGTTAAAAACAACTTGATAATCAATACTATTAATCATCATTGTCTTATTTTTTTTTATATTTTTGAAGGAAAAACATACCAAAAACATTTAGGAAAATGTGAATAATTCCATATTTAATGAAGCATTCAGTCATTTATTTCTGGAAATAGATTGTGATGTTGTACTTGAGAAATGATTATAAGCATTAATGCTACCAAATACATTTGAAGCTTCTCGGCAGTTCCGACAGTTGAACTGTCGAACTCGACATTTTAACTGTCGAACTCGACATTTATAAATTGTCGGGATAGTTAACTAAACTGTCGAATTGGACAGTTGAAAATTCTTGACACCCTTCATTTGACCTTGTACTATTGCATAAGTTTAAACATTCGAACGTGTATTGCATAAGTTTAAACATTCGAACGTGTCACTTCCATGATATTATATAATTGATATATTGATTGCGCATTATTCTTATTGTTGTAATCCCAATATTTCAGGTATGAACAATAATTTGAGATTGATCGTGTCGCACGGGGGAAAGTTCGTTCAGGTGAATGACGAATGAAAGTGGACTGGGACCAGACCACTTCCATTTTAGTGCCGAGCAGTATTACACTACCGGGGCTATTGTTACGGTTGAACGAGAAACTTGGTGTTCTCGATCCGCGCACAAAAATGAAATTAAAGTTCAAAGTTTCGAACATGAATATACCGCCAGCCAAAATATTCGAAGATGAAGATGTAAATTGGTACGTATCAGTTCATAAGGAAACTGCCATCTGCGTGACGACTTTGGAAATCGGTCTGCCAAGTGTTGAAATGGAGAGGGATACAAATTACAGCCAACAATTATTCCCCTACTGTGTTGTACATTGAAATCTATTATAGTACACTTTTGATTATCATTATTGCTTGCAGTCGTTATTGATCTTTGGATTGGCATAAACATTAAGATCATCATGTTGATGACCTGCAGAACATCCCGACAGTTCACATGTCGATCTCGCCAGTTGTCTTCTGTCATTCTCGACATATGACTGCAAATGTCACACAACCATGGTAATAGTGAATAAACAACACGACAGATAACAACAAAGTTACATAACTGCCACATGTAATAAGAACAAGAAAAAAGTACCTAAAATAATTTGTTATAACTCAACTTGAAGCACTCCAACTATTCTGTTGTTGCACAAAAAAAAAATCATCCACATCATTCGAAAACTGCTATCACTCCATTGTGTACGACATCTTTCATTACTCTTCATGAAACACGGTGTATGTTCCCCAATATTACTACAAAGCAAAGAGAACAATTAGACACTTTGACTCAGTTATGCATATGAATATTAGAGATGCGAGAGTGTATTGTGTTATTTTCAAAAAACAACAATTGATCGGTTTGCCCCAAAACGTACACTATGATGAGCTAATATATTTAAAAATAGAATGTCTATTACCAAAATTCAAACCTGAAGAGTACATTTATCCTCTCAACTCTACGCCCATGTCTAGGACAATGCTCATGAAGTAACTTGTGTGTAACTAACATATCTCTCAATGCTATTTATAACCAACTCCAAGGAAGGAAGCAATTATGATCATTCACTACTCAACTACCAAGTCCAATCTCTAAGTAAATTTGAAAATCAATTGGTATGATGGTTCAATAAATATCAACTTGCGGACATTAATCCCCCCATTTCTTCATAAATACTAGGACATTGTGACTCATAAATCATGTGTACAATGGCTTCTTATAGTTTCCTGCAAACCACATCTTCTCATATGCAAGTTATTGGAAGCATGGTTGTAATGCTACAGTTTCCCACTTCAATGGCTCATCATCTTTACCCACATCAAGAAAAAAAAATATTGGAATAGACATTAACTCATTTGTAAATTAGTTGTACCATGGTTTTCATGACTTTAAAAAGAATATTGGAATACACAATAAAAAACAGATAATTCAAGTAACCAGGCTACAAATTATCAAACAACCGTGTCCACGCTACGACTAGGTTATAGAAATGTAGTGTTCAACACAGAAACATAAATAGTTTGTAATCATGATAATTGACGTCTTTCACCACCCAAACAAATGTATTAACTGTCAAAAACATTTTTATGTACACGATCTTGGCCCACGATCGAATGACGTGACCATTACACGTACTGTAGAGTAGCTCCACGACCCAATTTAAAAAATAATCTACTACTCCTTAGTATAAATATTTTTCGTTAAAAATCACAAAAATTTCATCTGTCAATGTCACATAAATTTCACCAACGGATGCAAAATATTATACATTAAGGGAAAACAAAATGTTCTTCCATGCAACTGCCCCAGTCACTATCTATCGTTGTAATGTAATCCTGAATGCACCATTGTGAATGTTGCTCTTTCTTTGACAATGTAATTGATTGCTTCCATCTCCCATTATTTCCATAATGTACGCACCAACACTTTCAGGAGATGTGAGCCCACAACAGTGCATTCTCCAAAACAAGAGGCTCGAAATCCATGTCTCTTGTGATGAAACAAAAATGATTACGTCAGACCAAAATATTTCAAACACACGTGGATGTCTGGATGAAAAGAAAAAATTAACCACATATGGACAAATCAATCAAAAAATTGCCCATATTAGCATTCATACATGTTAATGCGAAACATGCGTGCAATGTTCGGCTGAACCAAAGTTCCACTTGCGGAACTAAGCTGAGGAAAGGAAGATTTCCGACAGTTCATTTGTCGACAAGTTCATTTGTCAAGAATTACTGAGACTAATTGTCGGGAACTAAGTTTTGCATTCTCCAAAACAAGAGGCTCGAAATCCATGTCTCTTGTGATGAAACAAAAATGATTACGTCAGACCAAAATATTTCAAACACACGTGGATGTCTGGATGAAAAGAAAAAATTAACCACATATGGACAAATCAATCAAAAAATTGCCCATATTAGCATTCATACATGTTAATGCGAAACATGCGTGCAATGTTCGGCTGAACCAAAGTTCCACTTGCGGAACTAAGCTGAGGAAAGGAAGATTTCCGACAGTTCATTTGTCGACAAGTTCATTTGTCAAGAATTACTGAGACTAATTGTCGGGAACGACAGTTCAACGCGATGACATTTCTCTACTGTAGTGAACTTTCGACAGATAAACTCTCGAAAAATCTACTCTTGACCTATTATTCAATAGCTACTTAACTCCATATTTGAGTAGAGCGAAACATTAAAACTACAAGTATGCTATCAAGTGTCTATCAAGATTTTCACCCAAATACAACGAATACTACCACAATATATGGACTTGCAAGTGAAACCAACGTTATTTCTCATACATTAAGTGACACATATAGCAACTTAAACATTGAAATAACCATTCAAGTCATGGTTCATACTTCTTATGTGCAGGGTAGAATGCATAATAAAAAGATAAGAACTTTTCGGGATGAGACTATTGGGAAAGGCATAATAAAAATGTATAAAAATTTTACCCCAAGGCCAACACTATACAATGAATGTAGAAAAATTTCCTCCTTTTCTGAAAAAATTGCAAAAAAATAAAGAAAACACCAACCTCAATATATCAGTTATGGTCTTCATCGGCAGTGGAGTGATTGACGACGGTCGTCGACGGCTGGGCGTTGGACGATTTGAATGCCAAGGGAATCTCGCCTTTCGTTGGTTCGTACGACGGAGGGGAGTGAGTTCACCAAATGCTTTTGGTGTTCATCGGTGGTGAAAGAAGGAAATGTGTGAGAAAGAGGACGATTCCAGTGAGAAAGGAGAATGTGTGAGAGAGAGGAATGTGTTTCAACAATGATTTCTTCTTCTTCTTTGCATGGGTTATTTCACTTTCTTCACTAATTTTTATTTTTACTTTTTATTTCCATCAATGCATTTAATACACTGAAAGTTCACAGTTTTTGTACAATTTTGGAAACTATTAGTCAAATCTCATTTAATTAGGACATATAGGGTATTTAAAATTAGCTTTAAGGGCAAATATGTCTAAAATTGTCCAAAATTGACATTCTTGCAATGTAAAAAAAAAGGGGCATTTTTGTAAATACAAAGCCAAAACTTGACTATTTTGATAATTTCCTCATAAAAAAATTACCCGTGCCTGTTACATAAATTTCCAACTATAGCTTCACAAATCGGCATTTTGGTGAGATCCTTGGCCAAAGATTGAGTTTTTGGAAGAAGCCATTCTCAATCAAAGCTTTTATTAGCCAGATGGAAACTCTGAAAGGAAAGTATTGAGGCAGCCATGGTGTCATAATTGCCTTTGACTCCGACGAATGCCAGGCAATCACCATCACCACAAAGAACGACAATGCAAATTTCTAGCCTCCTCTTTTTTCTTTTTTCTTTTTTTTTTCTTTTTTCAATTGTGTTAGCTGTCAACATTAATTTTTTTATATGGAAATAGGTTGGATGGTAACTTATTCATAAGGTTCATGCCTTTTGTGGGAAAAAAACAGACGTTTTCGGTCTAATTGGTACTTTTTCTGGGTGTGAATTAGCCCTTGTTTGATGGGCATTATTTTGAGAAAATGAAATCTTTAATAGTGATTTTTTTAAAAATGTGTGGTTTAAAAAAAAAGTGTTCAATTTACGTGCAAAATATTTTAATTATATAAATGTGTGATTGAAATGAGTATGAAAATTAAAGAGATTTGAAATAACAATTGTCAATCAGGGGCTTAATTTCATCCACTAAAACAAGTTGGAAAATGTGTTGATTAGTTAATGGGCTTTTGGAAGAAATGGAAGCTAGTTGGTAAGCTTCAATTGGGTTGGCTAAATGTTTATGTAAAGTGAAAATTACACCCAACCCTAGTTTTAACCTATCCAATTCAAAATTAAGATTTAAAGGTTTTATTTTCAAAAATCAAATTTTAAATATTAATAATAATATTATAAAAATTAAATTATTCTATATATTCACCTCACCATTATCTATCCTACCCAAACCCAATTATTTCCATCTTTCTTCTTTCTCTCTCTATACCTATCTATTCTCTCTATCCTACAGCCTCTCTCTACGACTCTGTTGGAGCCGATTTACGAAGAGATCTCTCTCTCTCCCCCAACTTCTCTCTTCTCTTTCCATCCTCTCTCTATTGGAGCTGGACCTCTGAGCGAAGAGGCGTGCTTCTGCGATGATGCGAAGCCACTCTGGGCTATTTGCAGCGTCGCATGAGGTGTTGCAATGGGTCTTGGTGGCATAAGACACTGGAGAAACCAATGTGGAGATTACAATTCTGTAGATTCATATTGAGCTCATAGTGGCGACAGCGACAATTTGCAAATTTTTGGTGGAGGTAGTGTTGTGGAGATAGAAATAGAGAAGGTGATAGTTGTGATTTTTTGTGAGATCTGATGGTGAGATGGTGGTGGCGATGGTTAAGTTGTGGATCGACTGCGGTGGTGATGGCAGTGTTGGTGGTAGTCGTGGCCTAGACTATAATAATTTTGAATCAGATTTTTTAGTGGTGGTGGTCTTCGTGGTGGTGATACGGCGGATATGGGTGGTGATGGTGATGGTGATGTTGGCTAATGTGTTTGAGATGATGGTTTTGTTATTGGGAGGTGGTAGTTGTAGTTCTAGTGAGCGCGATTTCGGTGGCAATATAGTTGGTTACAATGGTGAGGTGGTGGTTACAAATGATTTGGTTGATTGTGACTAATAGATTGGTTAATATGTGACCAATTAACGATATATGACCCTTAAATTATGATAAATAAATAATGTGCGACCTAAAAATTTGTCAATTTGTGACCAATCATTGAGAATATACAACCTAAACATAATTTGTGGTCAATTAATTTGATATTTTGTGACCATGGAATATGTTGTGACTTATGAAATTTGTAACCAAGGAATAATATATGACCTATTAATTTGATAAATTTGTGATCGTAAAATAATTTGTGACCTATAAAAATTTTAATTGTGAATAACAAATTATTTATAACCAAATAATTTGATAATTTGTGACCAAATTTGTAAAATACAAAATAACGATGATGATGATGATTCATAGAATAAAATTTCTTGTTTTATATGCTATATTTTTATTATTTTGGAAAGTTGAGGAACTAGAGTGACATATACATTAAATTCTTTTAATTTTGGGTTGAATAATTAGATTTTGATAGAGCAATGGTAAGTATATTAATATTAGGCTCGTTGGATAGCTCTTATTTAATCAAGGATATTAGGCTCTAGAAAAAGTTAATTCGAATAAGCAAAGCCTAAGTTATTAAAATTTAAAGAAGTTGTCATTAAATATTATTATTCTTCTTCTTCTTTTTCTTCTTCTTCTTCTTCTTGACTTGTGAAAGTTTGGGCAGCCGCATGAGTGTTGGGATTGAGTTAAAGCATGTTGTTTTATTTGATTTGGATAGAAGTTTTGGATAATTTGGATTTCCACTTTCTATAAGACAATTGTCCTATATTTAACCATTTATGCAATCGATATTCTCCATAGAGTAAGGTTAGAGAAACCACAACTAAGAGAAGTCATATTTTTTTTCATATAATATAATTTTTTTAAAATAGGGTAGCTGGCTAAAATAAAGTTGGAACGTGATTTGGTTTTGTCTGTTCAAAATTTTATTTGATCTGACAAGGTAGGATAACAGGATGCCGCTGATTTTTATCTCATTTAAATTTTTTTTTCACGTTGTTAAATTATTATGCTAATGAAAGTTAAAGATATGATATGATATGTATGTTTAGCCAATCAGTATAAAAAATATGATATTTATTGAGCTCTTACTGATTTCTAAAGATATGATAACAGTATATTTTTTGACAATTGTTGTAAACCTTCTATTTGAAATTGCGCCGTTATTCACAACCTACTGAGTATTTTCATATACCCACCATTTTTCCCTCTCCCTCATAGGTTAAAATCGATCATTGGTTGGCGAGTGATCGGTCACGGTGCTAGGATATTTGGAATTAATAAATTAAATTCAGTGTAACACGACTATAGATTTTATCTTCAGCGTTTATTTTTGTTGTATTATGTGGATTGTGTTATTTAGGGTTTGGAACAAGTTTTATTGGGTTATATTTTATTTAATATTAGTTTTACCAAAAATTTATTGTTGTGACGTTTGATGTGTTTATTTAATTTACAAAATCAATAAGATATTGCGTATGAAAATCCTCGTTTATTTTTTATAATTAAATAATATAGAATTATTCTATGTAATTGTGAGTAAGCTACAGTTACATAATTTTATATATTTATTGCATGTCATATTAAAATTGCCTACTTTTAAATTTTAAGATGTGCACGTTTTTCCTTACTAAATTTATGATATATGTTATAAGAATATAGGTATAACATGTTAGACTTTGTACTGGTATGTGACAGATGACTTAATATTAAAAATCTTTTAGGAAATGGCACTGCCTATACACACAAATTTGATGCATAACTTATTGCGATCGGTGCAAGGGTTGAGCAAACAGAATCAAGCACCCTCACAACAAAAATGCGCCGCCACAGCAAAATACACCTCCATTTATCCCTAGAGCTGTCTCAATGGTTGAACAGTTTCGTAGGTACAAGCCTCCTACTTTCGATAGTGGTTCCAATCCAATGGCTGTCGAGGATGGATTAGAGGTGGAGCACATCTTTCGATACAATGGCACAGAAGGTACTATGAGTAGAATTCATGTTTGTTGGGGCAATCAATCACTAGTGGGAATCTATCTCACACACTAAGACTGAAGAGCGGCAGCTTATCCTGCTTGGGAACAGATTAAAGATAAAGTGATGGTAAATACTTTCCATAGGCTTTGAGAGACTTCAAGGAATCAGAGTTTCTATAGTTCAGACAGGGAGACATGTCGATTACTGATTACGAGAGGCAATTTGAGCAACTCTCAAGGTATGCCCCGCATTTGGTAGATATAAAAACTAAGAAGATAAAGAGGTTCAAAAATGGATTACACCCAAAGATTGACATGATCATTATGTTTTATCATTTCACTTCATATCGTGAAATGTTGGAGAGAGCTCATGATATTTCATATCAGGTGTCTACATTTAAACAATCTGCCCAACAGAGCAAAGAGTCATTATGAAAAAGAAAGAAGAATGATCAGAAGAAGGACGGACGTAATTGGCAGAATAGAAGACCAAGCATAGGATTTTGTATTAGTGGGACAAGTGTGTATATTAAACATTGTCCTAAGTCTAATAAACTCCTCATGGCTGAATGCTTATCAGGGAAGAACATGTGTTTTCAGTTTAGTAAATGGGGACACATTGTTTTCAACTGTACAAAGCCTCCAAAGAAAAAAATGATATCAAGACAAAAACAAGAAAGGGAAAGCTCGAGTTTTTGCATGGAGTAGGATCCGAATGTGATAGTGGGTATTTTATTATTATTTGAAGTACCTGTTTATGTTTTTGATTTTGTATTCTTCGACGTTAAGTCTAACGCTATAATCACAAAAACAAGTATTCTATTATTCTTTGATGTACTCGCTTATGTACTTTTTGACTCTGAGACTACAAATTCTTTCATCTCTGCATCCTTCATCACTAAGTTTAAAATTGCATGTGTGAAAATGGATAATACGTTAGAGGTTAACATTCCTTCATGATGAACTCTTTGCACAAATTAGATGACTAAGGTTATGAAGTTAGAGATTGACGAAAAGGTACTATTGGCGGACTTGTACCTTTTAGAGATAAAAGATTTCGATATTATTTTAGGCATGGATTGGCTAGGACAAAATCATGTAACCATTAGATGTCATGAGAAAGAAATGTTATTTTATCGACTAAGACAGGAAGAATTCCATTTCTTTATAGCAAGGTTCAAGTCTCTACATCATCTTGTATCAACTTTAAAGCGAAAAAGATGTTGAGAAATGAGTCATGTCACGAATTCCTAGTTAATATCATTGGGTCGAAACATATAAAAATAGTCGTTAATGATATTAATATTGTGTAATACTTTGCAAACGTATTCCCAGAAGATCTATCAGGCATCCTACAAGATAGATAGGTAAAGTTTGCAATCGACTTGGTCCCCAGAGAGCACCAGTTTCTAAGGCCCCTTACAAAATGGCACCAAAAGTACTTCAAAAATTCAAGTTATAGTTGGAAGAGTTGGTGGAAAAAGGTTTCATTCAACAGAGTGTATCTTTTTGGGGCATTCCAGCACTTTTTGCGAAGAAAAAGATGGAAGTATGAGGATATGTATTGACTATAGAGAATTGAGCTATCTGACTATCAGAAATAGATACCAGCTCCCAAGAATAAAAGATTTATTTGACCAAGTTAGGGGTGCAATGGTGTTTTCAAAGATGGATTTGAAGTCGAGTCGGGTATTATCAACTAAAGGTCAAGGTAAGATATATATCGAAAACTGCTTTCAGGATTCGTTATGGACATTATGAATTCACTGACAAACCTTTTGGTTTGATCAATACTCCAGTTGTATTTATGGATCTCATGAACTGAGTGCTCCATTAGTATTTAGATCAATTTGTCTAGTATTTATTGATGACGTACTTGTGTACTCCAAAGATAAGAAAAAGCATGAGGAACAACTCTAAGTAGTACTTGAAACTTTGAGGAATGAGAAATTATATATCAAATTCAAAAAGTGCAAATTTTAGCTTGATCGTGTGGATTTTCTTGGTCATGCGGTTACCGCTCAAGGTATTAAGGTAGACTAAGTTAAAGTGAAAGCGGTAACAAATTAGCCTAGACCGACCAGTGTGGATGAAGTTCGTGGTTTCTTAGGGCTAGCTGTTATCATAGGAGATTTATTGATGGTTTTTTAAAAAAATAGCGTAGCTGATGACTCAGTTGATTAGAAAGGATGTGAAGTTTCAGTGGACAAAAAAGTGCAAAAAACGTTTTCAGGAACTCAAGTAGAGATTAGTCTTAGCTTCTGTATTGACGATACCTAAAGGTTCGAATGAGTTTGTAATTTATAGCGATGTCTCCAAACAGAGTTTGGACTGTGTTATGGTTATGCCTCAAGATAATTGAAGCGATATGAACATAATTATCCAACACAACTTGGAGATTGTAGTGGTAGTTCACGTCTTTAAAATATGGCATCATTATCTCTATGGTGGGAAGTATGAAATTTGTACAAATCATAAGAGTCTCAAATACTTTTTCGCATAGAAGGAACTTAATATAAGATAGGAGAGAT